GGCAGATATGTTAATCTCAGGAGGAAATGTTCGTTATTTAAAAGTATTTTTCTATATGAGGCTCCTAATAAAGCTCACTATATAGTCCTCGCAAAGGCTTCTGTTACTGTGTACAGGGTGTCCTAATTTTTTTCGATAAAACTTTGAAAAATATTAAAAAACCTCGTCTCTGCGTTTGAGACATGAGTTTCCTAGGTTTCTCTCCCTTTTGTAACTGTCTCTCCCTTCCGCATCTTTCTCTCCCTTTTGCATCCCTCCTTCCCTTCATTCATTTCCTCCTTCCATAACCACCCGCTACACATCTTTAACAAAATCATTCTCTCCCTTTACTCATTTATTTATTTCTTCCTTCCTTCCTTCCATTACCAACCGCTAGGTATCTCTCCCGAAATTTCACGATCTCCAAAAATTTGCGCAAGTCCAACGAAAAATTTTGCGCTTCAATCGAAACTTCGTAGATCGCCGGTGAAATGTTTAATCTTAAACTCCCCATGCCTATCTCTCAAACAGAAAATTGAACGAGCAAGTGGCGCGTGGATTTCGGAGAATCTGGGGATTCCAACGGTAGGAGAATCGGGGTCGAGACATCTTCGACATGCCGCGGCGCATTTACACGGGATGGATCTCAGTCGTAATCTGCACGGTTACACGAGTCGCTCAATCTCAGTCCGTAATCCAGAGGCCGGTAAATCGAGCCCCACCGCGATAAACCAAGTCCCTAATGATCAGCTCGTTTCACATCGATGACAGACTAGCAAAAAGCCGGTTGTTCGAGGAGGAAAGGGGCTCGGTAATAGCAGCAAGAGCTAAACTTACTGCCTCAACGTGTGCAGCTGGTGCAACGTGTCCTGTGAACGCGTGTGCAACCGTCTATGTGCAACTCGGTCCTATTAAAGTTCAAGAGTTGCCGGCGTCGTAGCGACAATTTAGAATTTACAGAAACGCCAAACAACCGTGCAAAACGCAACAGACGCATACACTTTGTCCGTTTAACAGTTTCCTTCCGCTTTCCATTCCGTTCTGTTCTGCTGTTAGCTTTATTTAATTCAAAGACACTCAAATACCTCGTTAACGAGTCCGCCTAATTACGCCTGTTTCGGGGCTCGAAAGAAGAGTCGAACTCTTTGACATGGAGGACAATTCTAGGCTAGAGACTATAGCTCTGATGAAAAATCGTAGAAAATTTTGCAATGGGTTTGAGACGTTAATTTGTCCGAAGAAAAGTGGCATGGTTTCACAGTTTATCTCGAATGAGACTCGGGCAGTGCGTTAAACAGTTTTGCTCACGAGAGACTCTTAGGAAGGAAGTTAGTTAATTATTAAAAAGATACGTGTAAAATATGAATTTTATTCACATTTTAGTGAAAAGGTTAAAGAAACGAATGCAATTGCAGTTTGCGAGAGAGATCGTGTGACAGGATGCTTGTTGCAGAGTGTATCTTCATGATTGTGCATTACGAAGAAGAGAACATCGACGATGAAAGTCAATATAGAAAGGTATATACGAGCGTGCATCGATCGATCAAGCATAAACAATCCACGTTTCTATCATCGTTTGACGGATT